CTATGTATCACAGTTATTCTCGAACATAATTTTTATAATCATTTATGATATATTTATCATGTTACTGTACTTATTTGTCAATCGCTTCCGTTCATATACATTTATAGAGACATGCTACTAGATTCATACATTTGTTTCGTTAGTCAAGAGTTAAGAGAATTCTCATATAATCAATTTTGACTTGTACAATTAAATTATAGAATAATCTCTTTATAGTGAATACTATTCGGACTTTTCAAAAATGCCCATTGTAAAGAAGCTAAGTCTTTTCTAAAAGTAGTTTTACAAGAAACAGACATGTTTTCTACGTATTTGAAGCAGACTAACAAAATAAAAATTAACTATTGTTGATCGTTACTTGTCTTTTCATGCATTTTTGTTCTTGAAAAATTAATAATTGTAAAACAAATCGTAAAATTTCGATGTCATGAACACCATCAGGACTTATCAAAAATATTCATTAGACAACTATACGAAAGTGTCAACTATAGGGGTCTTACTATAGTTACAAAGTTAAGTCGCCTCTCTCTCTCTCTCTCAAAAAAACCAATTTTCGTCAGCATTCTCGAAATTAAGATAAACGCATGAAAGGATATCTTGATACCTTGTCTTTCATAAACGACATGATTTGTTATTCAGTACTTCCTTTTTGTGTGAAAATTTGTAGTAATTTTTATCTGCTTGAACTATATGGTGTTTTCGGGAGATGCCAGAAATCTTGTTCAATTCTTTTTCTCTATCCATGCTCTTTTAATCGCATGTTTCAGAATTTGTGAAGTAGCTGCATTGTAATTCAGGGCTGCTTTCTATTTGAAAGAGTATATTAAGATATAGGTTATGAAGGGATCTTTTGTTATGAATTAAACTCTGTTACTATGACATCAATGAGTACTTTTATGATTTTTTTCCGAGTGTTTCGACAGATTGATCTTTTCTCCATTTAAAAAGTAAAAATTGAAAAAGAAAAGGATTTTATCATGACCTGCATTCTAACATACTCTTTCAAACAGAAAACAAGTATATACAATGAAGGCTCATAAAGAATTTGGAGTTACCATATGAGCTATTTTCTATTCTTGTTTGTTAATATCTCTCGAAAACCTGATAACACAGAGCTGACAATTTTATCGTAGCCTCTTCACTATAGTTTCAATATATCTTAGAAATTTCATACGATTTAAATATACCAAACTCAAGGTCTGCTTTTGAGGGTGGGATTTTAATGATATATCAATAAAATCTAGAGAAGCAGCAAATTGTTAGCATACGTCAAATGTAAACATGTGTGTAACCATCTTTTTTTTTTAGTTCTAATTCCAATAACCGTCTGCGAAAGTTCTTTTTCCAGTATTCCTGGTTGTTTTTTTCAGTAAATCAGATTTCAACCCCAATGATTTTAGTATTTTGAGACCAAATCCTGGTCTTTGTCCTGACATAGAGGAAATTATTCTAAAATTTTTCATATAAAATCTCAAAAAATCGTAATTGCATGTCTTTTGACCTTCGCTTATGAGTTTGTTTATGATAAGTATGACTAATAAGATGATTCTGTCAAAGTAAGAGAACATTTCACTGTAATCTATAGTTCTGTCCTAGTAAATTGCCTAGTTCTTTTTTTGATCCTGTACATCTATAATCAAACCGAGTAGGTTTTAGTATTCTTCCACCGACCAAACTATTCTGATTTCATTCATTTTAAAAGAAAACTATTTTCTTAATAAACTATATCTCACAAAATTCTCGACGATAATGACAATCTTCGTATTAATTATCATGTAACAAAGACAAACGATGAGACGACGTATGTTTAATTACATTTTGATTAAAAATATTTTATTCATGTTTATTATTCAAGATATTTCTTTTTGTTATAGAAATTTCACAAAACAAAGTCTCATTGGAATGGTGTCATTTGTATTTAACATCCAAACTTTAATTTATTTTTCCGAACTCTTTCAGCCATGAAATCAAGCATTTTCTTTTTCTTATTCAATTAGAAATTAATATTGAATAAATTCATTTGTAATTACTAAAAGAATTTTAAAGTAACAGAATAATTATAGAAAAAACTTTTGCTTGCTCATGCTTGCAATACGCCAAGAGCTGAGCCGGAAGAGTTTTTTTGCGTAAAATTTATTATTGTATCTTAACGCAACTTAAATAAATGAGATAGGGTAGGTTGACGTATTCACTTACTAATAAGACTCGTAGACAAGTGTATTTTACTACATGATAATTCAAAAATTTTATAATAAATATATACGAATGAGCGTTTAACGTTTTAAAAAATAATCTATAATTAGAGAAAGTTAAAAGAAATTTTTCTTTGATGTACAAAATTAATAGTGTTTGTTTTCTCAAATAAAGGATACAAGTTTAACAAGACAAAGAAAAAACAAAATCTTCTCAAATCTCGAACAATATTGTTATATAGAGGTGCAAAGTCTATCGCTAGAATGAAAAATTTCACTAAACCAAGATAATCTCGAAAGAAAATTGCTTTGCTATCAAAATAAAAGAAAAGTCGGATTCTCTTGTTCAAATACACATTCGAAGATAAGCGACTGATTTACTCAATACGCAAGAAGTCATACAAAAAAAAAGTTTTATTCATCAATAATTAATAGAAATAGTTTTCAATATCAAAAAGTAATGCATTGTATAATTAAACAAATGAAGAAACAATTTCAACACTTTGTAATTCCCAAACAAAACCACAATTTCCTATAATCAAGAGCTTTTCAAACTTTCAAGATTTTCATGCACGACATATTGACACACATAGTTACATTCTGTACATCTATTTTTCATCTCATATATCTTCCAAAGACAAAATGTTATGAAATATATGTCTAGACTTATTTTATTGAATAGTTAAAAAATTAGCTTAGTTACTTTGTTTTACTATATGTATACAGAAGATTATAATAGTACTCAATGATTTTATGAACCAACGTTTTTCGTTTCTTCCATAAGTAATTGAAGCTAACGATGATATAAATTTTCAAAACGTTCATGTCTTGATACAGTCAATGATCTGTTCAAGAAACATCATGTAGCAATGTTTGTTAGAGTCTAACTTTTCTTTATTTTCTATTTTTCCGGACATTCAAATGAAATGACTATGGCAAAAATTTTCATGAACATTTAAATCAATACTTTGAGACAGAATAACAGGAGATGGATTTTAATATAAAAAGCATGTAGAAATAATATTGATAGTTTTGGGTTGAGTTAGTATCTTTACATTGATTTTATACGAAACGTCTCATAAGTCGTTATACAAAAACGTTGCCAAATTTTAATTCTTATGAAAGAAGTTCAAAACTTCTATTCAAAGATATCAACTACGACTGAAATACAAAAATCTGTTCTTTTTTTACATTCTTATTTCTAAAAATACCTTTGAAGAAGAGTTTCAATATGATTAAAAGCTTTTGAATTCCAATGTTACTTAGTACTGAGAAGTCATCAGACAAAAACAACCTCTGAATCATCCCTACTTCACTTGAGTTTTTGTTAGACTATTAAATAATTCATACTAAGATTCTATAAGAAAAAAATGCATTTCGATCAAAAAAAAGTTACAAAAATCTAGAAAAACTCTTTTAGGATTTGAAATGCGCAATAACCCAGCTTTATTGTTTACTCATTGTGTAGGACCCATGTTTTCAATAAAATTGCCTGCTCGAATTTTGTCTTGAAATATTTTACACAAAACATTCGTATTTAAACTAATTTGCATTCGAAGTTACAGTATTTTGGAATTTAGTTTCTCTGAGATATAGATGTTTTAAAACATTGTATCAAACTTGATAGCTCTAGACGAAATTCGTCAATTTATTTTATGAAAAATACAAACTTGGTACTCTCTTCAACAAGGAGAAAGTAAAAGATCATCTCATTTGACTAAAACATGATGGAGAACTTTAACATTTTCTTTCTATAGGTGATTTTTCGGACATTCTGTCCTTTTCTAATGAAATTAAATTTCTTAGCTCAACCCAACTCCGAAAACATAGATATTATTTATATATCCCATATGAATTATATATATATATCATCGATATTTAATCTAGACAATTGCAATGGCATGGCATTAGTTTAAGTCATTGATTATATAGCGATATGCAGAAAATGAATTCACTATGACCTCATGCCAGGTTTAAATGATGGATTAAAGTAATACGCCATTTGAAAGGTTAAATCTCTATTCTTTATTTGAAACTTATTTTCATGAGTATCATTCAAAATAATCGGTTGTTATCTTTCAAGTATGTAACTGAAACGTGACTTAGTTGAAGATTTTTAATAGAAACATTTCCTCATCATGTTCTTTTTACGTATTTCTATATATTTTCTTTTCTTTTACGCAGTAAATGTAAATCTTTTAATTGTGAATACAACTTAAATTTATTTATTGAGATATCGAATTAAATTCATATTACTAATAATTTTAATAGTAATGCTGAAGTATTAGTGTGAATATTAATGTTAATCTAATACATCTCGTCTTTAATTCTTAATCAGAAGAATTAATATCAATGAATTTTTGTTTCTTTGATATGATTTTTTCAATGAATATTTTAGATTTATATGACATATATACACCCGTGGGCAAAAGTCTTTCCCCCGATCTCTTTTCTTGGCAAAGTTTTCTCTGCTATTATAAGGACAAAACATGATGTTGTTCAGGCCGATTATGGGTTATTAAGGATGCTCTTTTATATGACCCGAACGACACCATGTTTTGTCCTTATAATAGCAGAGAAAACCTTGCCAAGAAAAGAGATGGGGGGAAAGACTTTTGCCCACGGGTGTATATATATATCTTTGTTTGCTTATAGCGTATTATGTAAGATTTTGAATTTTTTTTTTTTTTGTAAGTATAGAAAAGATTTGTGTTCGAAACAAACAGAATCATGACATTCAGTTATCTATTTTAGTTTCAAACTCTTATATTCTGATTACCAAATAGAATCCAATAATTTATCTATACTATGACTTTATCAATAATTCTCAGTAGTATTTTTATTGTATTAATATCTTTAAGCTGCCTTATTTCTTTTGTGGTTCTTATACGAATATTTATTCATATTCGTCCATCATTATCAAATATATTAGTTTTATTAACATGCAATACATATTTTACTATAATTTTATTTTGTTTTACATTACTTTATGCATGTATACGTAATCTTTATGGTCACATAAATTCATCTATTTCATTAGCTGGTCAATGGTGTAAAATTCGTGCATATTTATTATATGTTTGTTTTTGTGCTTTTTATTATTCATTTGTTCTTCAAGCAATATTTCGTTTTTTTCATATCGTATATTATAAAAAGAAAATTTTACAACATTTTCATATATTTATTATTGCTATTCTTATTCAATGGATTTTATCATTTCTTTTTATTTTTCCTCATATATTATTAAATGATTTTCAATATCAATCTCTTAGTTATAATTGTTGGATATCATTTGGAAATATTCGAGGAATATTATTAGCAACATTAACTATATATGTATGTCCTATTTCGATTATATTTACAATATATACATGTATTCTTCGATATGTTCGTCGAACATTTATAAATCGACGAGAACAACAAAAATCTTATAAACGAGATGCTATTATTTTAAAACGTATTGTTATTCTTCTTCTATTTTTAGTTATGTTTGATATTTCAACATTAACTGTTTTTGTTATTTATTATATAACTAATTACTTAATACCATTTGCTTATGAAATACAAGTTGTAAGTATATCAATTGGACTTGTTGTTACACCAATTACTTTAATATTTATTACACCTAAAATACGATATATATTTAAACGACATGTATCAGTTACATATCTTTCAATAAAAAGAGGAAATATACAATATACAACAACAGATTCAAGTCGACAACAGACAGATAATTAATTTAGATAGAAAATTTTTGAATATTTCTAAAAATTCATTTTGAATTCAAAAATAAAAAATATATATTAATAAATACTTGTAATTGATGAACCATAAATAATGATATTCTTAGTATTTTCAAAATTTCTTCTCGAGTCTTGATTTGATTGAAATAGTATGTGTCTTATCAAAAGATAGTGTTTGAAATACTCTACAAAACTACATATTATATAATTCAAAAAATTTTTTTTTATGTATTCGGAAAAACGATGGGAAAATAAACACACATGCAAACATCTGTAAAAATTAAATATAAAAATATTCACGAATCAACAAAAATTTGTTGCAATTCAAGCGAAATGATTTCAAAGTGAACAAATAATATGCAGATAAAAATGATCGACAACACTGACTTTATCAATACCTCAATGGTCCATACAAATGTTGAATATCACTAAATATATCAACAGTCAATAGGCATCTACTGTTACTGTTGTATAAAAATCTTGGCTATTTTCTATGGAATGTTTTTAAAGTTTACAAATGTTATCTAAGTCATAGCTAGTGTATAGACTATGTCCGTGTGTTCATGCCGAAGAACTATTGGTCACTGATTTTGTTTGATTTAAATCCATTAGACGCTCTAGTTGAACGTTTTCTTTTCATGCTCGTAAAGTGCTTGAGTATCTTGAGGTAGCAGGACTTGAGACCTTTTGGACAAGCTCAGATGTTTGAACTTCTAGTTCAATCACTGAACATTTTTATTTATACGCTTGAATTCTTGTTCAAATGTGTATAAGTATAATCGCAAAAGAAATACTTTAAGGAAAATATTAAGAATTGCACAGGTTAACAATAAATGTCTGTTCTTATTACCTGTTAGTGATAATAATACTTCACTAGATTTCGTCATCTTTCAAAATTTTTGTTTCTTCAATCTTACATTCAAAACGATGCAGTTCATAATAAAAAATTCACAACTAGAATAACCAAGTCTATAACAGACAGGTCGAAAAGGAATCTATATAAATAAGTATAGGGTGTGATTCAGACATCCTCAATGGCAAGGAGCATTCTTTTATTTTGAATAGAAAACTCTTGATTATTTTATTCTAGTTGATTGTTTCAAGTATGCTCATTCGTATAATTATCATCAGTTTATCGAATGAACGGCTTTGAATGTGTACACATAGTTCATGCAAACATTCAAGTATCTCTATCTGGAAAGAAAGCCATGGAGTATAGATACATTCTGAGGTTTGTGAATGTCAAGCACATGTAAAAAAAACGATAATTTATGGAATATAATCTGTTGAAATTATGAATTGTAACTATATGAAAACAAAAAATTTTAATATTCTGCACTTGATTTTACTATACGATTGTGTTAAAATGAAGTGTACTATTTTATGCAGAATATCAAGTGCTACATTTTTATAATAAAAAGAAATCCTAATTAGGTGAAGAATAGAAGAGCATTTGGGAAAATATTAACAGTGCAATTACCCAGATAGTGAAAAGTGACGATTTTATCCTGATACACTAGTCTAATTAATTGTGAGATCATAGTGCGATGAAATTGTTAAAAAAATAGAATTTTTGTCAATTCTCATTGAAACTCACGATTCATTAATGACTTTTTATGACTCATAAATTTTGCGTCATTCAAACGTACTTCGATGATTATATCGACTAACGACTACCATCAATTTACCATGTGATAAATCTTATGCATATATTAATGACAGTCATGAAGGTTTATAACTTATACTGAAGAAATGAAATAAAACACCGCACGATATTTGTCACATACAATGCTTATCAACTCAATACTGTGTTTAAAATAGCTTGTCGAGAAATATACTAAGCGAAAATTTCGATAGGATTTTAAATATAAGTACCACTTAGTATATTGTTTAGGTTTTTATTGACAATCATAAACTAAATACTTTGATTTTTATTGATTGATAGAGATTAAAAAAGTACTTCATTTTCTTCTAATCTTGAAGACAAGAAAAGCATGCCTTACATGTAACATCATACAGTACAGTTTTTAATAGTTGCCGCAGTAAAATGACATGATTTGCGTGTATAAAAAACAAATTTATGTTTTCCTTTGTTATATAGAAACTGAAATGAATCAACTTATATATATTTAATACGAATTTTTATGATATTACGAACTGTCGTATCCTAAAAATAGTTGTGGAATCATTCTTTTTGGAAAATACTTACTTTAATATGTAGAAATAAAAAATATCAAATAAATTGCTTTAGTTAATCATTCAAGCTTAGGTAATTCTCACGACATGTTCGCGAATATGACACTACTATCGACATTTTCTCTATTTTATGAACAATAAAATAAACCTTACATTTTATGAATATACCTGCGTTAATTTGAAATTCAATACACTTTAGGAAATACTCGTATATAATGTACTTTTAGAGACAAATAAAGAACTAAAATTCGAATACATTATGTTATTTGCATATCAGCTAAATGTTTAAATAAAAGCTTGTTGGTACAGCCATTTCGGAAGGTTTAAGTGTGGGTGTTAGCTGTCTCTCCATTCTCTTTACAATCATACTAATCACACACTGAGATCTTAATAAACTGATATTACAGTAGTTGTAAACAATGAAAATAATTTTATTTTATAATATTTCCAGAATAGAGAAAAACTGATGATTTTTGACCAGGTTCTTTCTTCCACGAGTACCAATAGACGTGTAGACGTTCGAAATATTGTTTTTTTTGTGCCTTTTAACGCTCCCTTCTTTTCACACACATGAAATTTCTTAATGCTCATAAATCGGATTTTCTCACAGCACATTTTTTTATAAAATTTTTTTGGTTTATTATATTAGCAAATTCGCATAAATGATCGAATAATTTGAGTGGCACGGAAAGATACAGACATCTCTTTTGATATGAGTGCTGTGAAAACAGATGAGTTGAATATCTGGAAAGGTATTCAATCATTGAATTTAACTTTCAGGATTGACACTGTTGCTTTTTTAATGCGTTATAATTTTCAATAAACTACATTAAGGAGGAGACAATTATTTTTATTTATACAACATCTAAAATACATTATCACGCAATCTAATCATATTATGCTAGAATTACTTAGCAAGATAATAGTTTATTCAGACATGAATACCTTTATACAAAAGAGTCATAGCTTGGAAATACCAAAAAAACTTATGTAGCATGAAAGATGAGGTTTGGAATTAGAAAAACAATTCTGTTTTTTATAAAGAAACTCTAATTGAGATCATTATTACATAGATACTCATGAAATTATATATCTTATTGCATGAAAAGACAAATTATGATGCTATGAAAAATACTTGTAAATAGATGATTTAGTAATACGCGACTATAAAAAAAAGTTTCTTAGAACAACCTTTTTACGATTGACATGTAGAACTTAACATGGTTTATGTACGAAAAGCGTAAAATCTTCACAAGACGATAGTTCTTTTTCAAGTAAAATCGATTTTCAGTAAACAGCTTCTTGTGTTTTTGACTGTCACTCTTTGCTTTATTTATCTTGTTATTATGTACTTGATATGTATTTTCTTTTCATGATTCATTATTATTAGTTTAGTCATTGGTATTATGAACAAATAAATTTTTTGTACATATTCTTTATATTTACAATAAATCTTAACGATCTATGATATATTTCAATGAACTTAGAAAAACCAATATTGACTACTCCAGAAAGTGAGAACTTAATCAGCTGATGATTTTGTGTTGGTTATATAACTGTTATGGGAAATCACAACATCATACTTCATAGCTATTATATAATCGTTTGACTACGCAAATATCAGAAACTGTGTTATTTAGAATATTGAAAAACGCATTCCAGTCATATAAACTTCAAGAAAGGCTCAGCGTCTTTAGTCCTGATTGATCAGATCTGTAATGTAGATGATGAGATCAAGGTGGGAAGCAACATAACTTCGGCTTAAAACTTACGCGCTCTATTTTCTTCGAAAATACACATTTGAGTTCAATAACATGCGTTAGATGTATTAATGAGGATTGTTATTACTCATAATCAAGATTATAAGATATTTGTTTTATTGAATAGAACTTTTTCAGAGTTTATTTTAGACTAGACTGTTGTCATTTATCAAAAAAGATCTGTTTAATGAATAATTCTCGCATAATAAACTACGTTAAGGTTAAGAAGTGATTCTTAGTTCCATAAGAAAAACTCAAAGATAAATATAATCCTCCTGTGAAAAAAAGATGAAGATGTAAAATAAAATTTTTTTTTCGAAATAGCTGATGTTAAGAACAAATTAAATTTAAATAAACAAACAAAAAAAAATCTTGTTTATTAAAAAACAACAACAGCAACGACTAATAAACTCGCCTCATGATTAATACGACATAAACAAGAACCACATTGAATCACAGTTACTATTCACTTTCTATTTACTTAGAAAGAGATTGTAAATGTTGATCTATAATCAAACATCTGCTGTACTAGTGCTTTGTTTTTCCAAAGAAATAAATACATTTAGATGTCATGAATTTTCATATGAGTAATAACAACATGCATGACATATGCCATTCACGCTATTTTATTATATCAAATTTTTCTTCATTTATTTTTCTACTCAGGCTTACGTTCATGGAATTTTTCTCATCTGTATTAAACACTCTCGACACTTTACTATAGTTTTCTTTATATACATGTTCATGATATTCGGCTATGAAAGTTAGAAGAAAGAAAAGATATCTTAAAGATAATATTCTTGTGTCTAAATTTAAGACTTTTTTCTTTCTCTTTCTCTCTCTCTCTGTTTCTCAGCTAGAATGAAACGCCCATAACAAATATGAAATTTTATACTCTTTTGTGTAAATTTTTAAAGAGTCAACGTAACTCGTTCTTAGCTTGTAAATATTACTACAACGTTTCTCCTATATCTTTCTATTTACATGATATTTGATTTCTCCTGTTACGTTCAACATTTGCCTACTAATAAGTTTTCATTCAATATTTTCAGCGTTGTGTTATGCTCTATTTTTGACCTTACGGAACATTGTATTTTTAAAGCATACTTTTTTCTTCGATAAATAGACACGTAGATAGATAAACGAACATAATACGTAAATATTCATATAGTTAAAAGATATATGTCTAGATCGATAGATAGATAGATAAGCTAGTTAAGTAGAGTAATCTATCCAATGTCAAAAGTAAAAATATTGAAGAAAAACAGTGTTATATCTTTACTGTCATATAGATTTATGTTTTGGTGACATTTTATTTGTCAATCAAATTTACCTTTATTAGCTGTTTAGTTATATAATTACACAGTGGAATAGCTTATCCGAGAAAGATTTCTTCAAATTTTGAAAAAATTATGATGTAATTAATCATCTGAATTTTGTATTGCTTGACACAAGCGAAGATGACCTTTCAAACCGCAATATTACATTTGGAAAACCATATTCTAACTGAAGCGAATAGAGAACACCTGGAAAACTGACTATGTTCAACACAAAAAGTAAGAGGATTCGTTGTTGATTGTGAATAAAGATAGAGCAGTGTCGACTATAGATAATACTAAAAGTCGAACTGTAACTCATCTTCTTTATTCGAAAATATCGAGGTACACTGACATCCGAAGTAAACTTCAGGTAGACAGGTATATGGATGGATAATAATTGTTAGGTTAATGGATAGATAATTTTCATTCGAACTTTTTTGTTTTGTAACTTATAGAGTAAAGTTAAAATAATAAATATTGTACGAATGATCATACATCGAATGCGACTTGTAAGTTTGATTTGTGTTTGTAATGTATAGCGAGATTGATTTTGTCGTCTTTTTGCTACTACTTTACAACGAATTGACATTGCTATCGAAAATTTTTTTGATCGAATTTTTAAATGAATCAGGCAGAGAAAAATAGAAATAAATATTTTCTAGTTTTCATTTTTTTTGCGGAAACAATTTCTAATATTAGTTCTCTTTTAGTACACTCTTGGCAATATGCTTTTGGCATTTTACTAATCTTAAATATAGATGAAACATTATTTTTCATATCCTTTTTCTTTTCGATCTACTGATTACTCTTATCTCTCTTACATAATTCCTATAGTTCGTCTCATAAGTTTTCCAGACGTTTGAGACTTCATCGTAGATAAATTTAATTAACATACAACACTAATTGAAGTAAATATGCATTTACGATTGAATCAAGCATGACTATATAAGAAAATTATCAGTTTTTAATTATCGTTTTCTGCATATATATTTTTTTCAAGTGTCGTCGAAGCTTGAAAAAAATACGGATTTCAAATTTGTATTCATCACATTCACATGGTCGCCATAAGCTATTTTCTTATTGGGAATGATGCTGAGAAAAAATAACCGACTTACACTGTGACTAGTGCGTCGAGTGGAAGGAGAAGAATTTACCATGGGAGCTAAGCGACTGAACAGCAATAAATCGGGTGGTATACTTCATGCCGCTGACCGTATACTAATCAGAGTTCAGAAGTGTAAGTCAGAAATGCTTTTCAAAAGTAAGTATGAGATTTTTCTGAATGACTTTGGATGGTAATCGAGAATCGCGTTCAGTACCCAAAAAAGGTCGAGATGTTCTAAGCGTTTATTTCATTTTCTTGTCTGTTTGAGCACTTCTAATGATATTATCGGTTTCTTAACCATATGTTGTTTAATTGACTTTGTTGTCTTAAATATGATATAATTTAAAAAAACCATTTCAACAGCAAATCACGATCCCTTAGTCGAGGACTTCGATCGAGACGACCAGTATTACGACCTTGCTTTATTGTACTGTATATAACTAATCACGGTTGTCAAATGCTCTGAAAATCAAATATCTGATTGATTAAAATACAGTAAAATGCAGCCATAATACTGCACATACCAACCGATGAAAGGATTATCTAAAATGACTATTTACGAGCATATTTATTTGACATACGTACAGTCAGTAATACGGCGTCTTTACGACGCTATAGAATGAGAGTATAGTGCTGTATATGGCCATAATACTTCACATGTAATTACGACATAATACGGCACATAAACAGCCATCTACGGTAAAGTTACAGTGATTCATAACGACCGATCTATAATACTTAAAAGTATGGAGTATTTTAAATCAAAAACTATTTTTATGAAGATCTTCATGTAAAACTGTCGCATATATTACGCTTATTAAATTATAAATGTTTCATAGATACAAAAATTGATTTGTTAGATTAAATATAGCATTCAACTTTAATGTCAGCAACTTTCATCAAAACGAAATTTTGATGAATTTATACCTGATAGTTTATTGTCCAGTAATGACATGCATTTGTAGTTCTACGTAAAATACTGTCTTACTTTTATCTTTATAAATACTTGTCACATTTGATGTTGTCCATTTTATTTTAATGATACTGTTATGTGTACAAGAGTGTAGATATAGATTGTTGAATGATACAATCAAATATGACTAGAACGTATACATCTTGACATCTTTTTTTTTTTCTTTCTACTTTCTTTAATAATACGGAAATGCATCGATTTACTTTTAGTTCAATGCTAATTTTGTTCGGTCAAATTGTAATATCAATTTTCATTCTAACATAGTTGTATATGTGTCGATATTGATATCGCGTCCCGTTAGATTTCCTTTTTTTTTCTTTCCTGTGTTCATCTTTCTCTGTATAATATGAGTATGTATTGTATGTGAAATAGTGACATTCTGAAGGTGTATGAAGTAGCTTAATAAACATCATTACAGAACATGTCTTTTAGTTAATCCTCCAGGTTTGTCATTACAATATTTTTTTTCAAAAGTTAATACTATGTTATCAAATTGGTAACAATAAAGAATTTTCTTACCGTTCAAACCTGACAAACATGTACATCTAACTACTTTGTGTAATCTAATTTGAAATTCTTCTCACACGATTTATAGTAGATTTTCAGATTTGTTTTATTTATCTTTATAAAATAATATAGTTAAACATTGTATAAGTTTTTAGAATGCTAGTCAATATATCCAAGACACATTGCATATAATTAGTCGTATGAATATAATTCATTTATGACAATCAACATCGAATTATTTCTTAACGGACTTATTTTGACATTATCTTCTATGAGTTTTCTTATTTCCATATTCATTCTTGTCATAGTCTGCATTCGTATTCATCCATTATTATCAAATGTTCCAATTCTTCTCACATGTAATACATACTCCACTCTACTCTTAGGCGCTTTATTAATGTTAATTATATATAGTTATAATATATATGGTAGTTTGAATAGTTTCAATTCTCTTAATAATTATTTATGTCAATTACGTGGATATTTTATTCATGTATTTATATGTTCATTTTATTATTCATGTGTTCTTCAAGCTATTTTTCGATTATTTCGTGTAGTCTTCTATAAACAAAAAAATTTACAATCATCTTATCTTTTTTTTATTGGAATATTTATTCAATGGCTTATATCTTTTCTTTATATTCTAATACATCTTCTTACAAATAATTTTGAATATTTCTCGTTTACATATAGTTGTTGGATTTCATTTAAAAATATTCGTGCACTTTTTCATGCTTTACTTATCATGTATATTGGTCCTATATTAAGTATATGTTTAATGTATGCTTATATCATTCGATATATTCGTCAAACAAATCATATTCGACAACAACGAAAACTTCATAATAAACAAGATTTATTTATTCTTAAACGTATAGTTATTCTTGTACTTGTTGCTATGGGTATTGGTATAGCTACTATATTTACATTAATTAACTATATGATAACTGATTATTTAATTCCAATAGCTTATCATTTACAAGGTTTAAGTATAACAGGTGGATTCTTGATGGGATCTATTGGTTTTATATTTATTACACCACAAATATATGAAATATTACGAATGAAAAAACGTAAAATAAATCCTACAGTTATGATTAAAGTTATACATCGAAAATCCTACTAAAGACTATATAGTAAAAAATTGATTCTTGTTTCTTTGATTGTATAAATTTGTATTTCAGAGTTTTGTAACAATTTCTTTGAGACAATATAAAAATATATTTATGTTTTTTTTTAATCATCATACAACAGCTGTTTTTTATTCTCAAATGATTATTATTAGATAGTGTGTCGATTAATTTGTTCATTATTTTTTTTTTATGAAGAATTCTATACTATTTTATTACGATAAAATCGATTGAATAAGTTTAATAGGTTATTTATTTTTTTATAATATTATGTAATTATAAATGAGTTATTTAATATTGAAGTGAAATTAAGTTGTAATGAATACTTTTGAAAAACAATTATCAAACTAAAAATGAGAATTTCTGAATCTTTTTGTTTACTTATGATTAAGGAAAATGATATTTTTTTTTTCTTCTATATGATGACAATTCAATGCATTATTAGAATTTTTATTAATATTGTCAAATTCAATAATGAAATTCAATGGTTCTTAATTATTTGATTATTATCGTCGATGAATGTTCTTTAACATAAGTGAAATTAAAAAGGAAAAACATATGTATATATATATTTATAGATGATCGATCAATCAGACATTTGCTTGATTAATTATCGAAAACTAAAAATTTCAAACATTTTTTAATGGGAAAAAACGCACTCAGGCAAAACATAATATATGGCACGACTCTTCCTTTTTTTTTTTCTTCTTTGATATCAGTAAGCATGAAATGGCAGTTATTCGTCCAATAAAAGTCACTCCACGTGAGAGAAAATGGAGAACAACAGCAGTTATTATATATATTTATATATATATTTATTTATTTATTTATCATCATATTAATTCTTGCGCAACAAACGAAGATGAAATATCATATCATCATGATTACTGACAAAAACAGGAGAATGGCAATTATTTAAATAAAATTTTTTCTTTCTTTCTGATTATTATTATGTTCAAGTATATTTTAAAGTGGATGCGTCAATTCTAATCTCTATTGAGTTCCACTACTTTTATGATCTTTCCTCTCGTATTCTTCTATTTTTTAAATGAAAAAGAAGTGAAGTGTGTGCGTGTGTGTGAGACGTTGCGGTGCTGCTCTCTTCAGCAGTAGTTATAGTCGAGCCGAAAGATAAGACCGTTTATCAGTCTATAACTGCTGCCTGCCTTCTTGTGTCAACAACAAGAAGTTCCATGTGCCACATACACGTATACGAAATTCTCTTTCTCTCTTTTTTCGTGTCGTTTTTTCTTTCTTTGCTATATAATGCTCGTAAAACTCGATTATTTCTGGCAGTATCCTTCTGTTTTTTTTATTCTTTGCTTATTATCATTTTGTAAAATAAAAAGAAGAAAACGAACGACAATACGTTTATATCAAGCGAACGAGGTAATCTCTCGGTTTTTTTGTCTTGTTTACTCCATACATTTTCGTTCGCAGACTAAATCTGAAAGTAAACATGCGGAACGTTATTTCCTGGAATTCACGTCTTCGCATTCGGTAGTAGAGACAATGTTCGTGTTGAAGAAGAATAAGAAGGAATAATCCTTTTCTTCGTCTTTTTTCTTCTCTGTAATAGTAGGTTTCTTCCATAATCTCTGACCTTTTTTCGCAGTCCTTTCTCTCTTCATTTTTTTTTCTGTTTGTGTGTGTGTGTTTGTGTCATCTTTCTTTCTTTACTGTATTCATATGCGCTTCCCAAGAACGTGTCTGCTACGAAAAATGTCAAGCTTTAAAAGACAATGATACACTATGTCGTCGGCAACCGAGATATGATCATCAGATGATGATTCTTCTTCTTCGTCTTCTTTTCGTTCGTGTCTCTTTCTTTTTCTTTTTCTCCTAATTGTTGACACAATACAACGACCAAATTCCGAGCGGCAGAGTACACACACACACACACACATATACACATACATTTACTCTGAACATTGGCTTTGCTTCCTCCCACAATGATCAACCTCCTCTTTTATTTCAACATCTCATTGTCAATCCTTTAAATGTGCAACAATGTTTCTTATACATTGAGAGATATTTTTTTCGTTTATTTGCTGCTATTCAAATTGTAAAGAGTCAGATCGCGTGTGTGTATGTATATATATATATCTATTTATGATGTGCAATGGATGTATCTCTTGAAAATGAATGACTATTTCATAGATATAAACCCTTAGGCTATATTCATAGCTGTCATCACACCTATAGATATATACGTATGTATATATATACATTCTATTGGAGAGAATAGAAACTGCTTATTTGCAATTCCACATGCACCAATCCCACCGTTATATACGCATATAAATATAAATATATATATATACATACATTTATCTTTTTCTGCATTCTCTCTCTGTCTGTCTGTCGTGATCGACCTGAAGCATCATCGTTTTGCCGGTGTATAGGAAAAGAGACTGAGAAAGAGAGAGAGAGAGAGAACGACAGCGAGAAAGTAAAAGAAGAACAAGAAGAATAATGGATGGAGTATCATCATAATTCGTGACGAATAGAATGATACACGATGCTTTTGCAGTCAGGCAGGTAAATACAGTCGAGAATAAGAGCCAGAAATATAAGTATAGTATATGTTATATTACTGGCAGTTTGTTAAAAAAACGCGTTCATCCGTGACGTGCAACGATATTAGTGATTGGATAGAACTTTGTCTCAGTACCTCCCACTCTCTTTCTCTTGACGCTACCATTATCATCACCGACTGTCTGTCTGTCTGTCTGTGTGTCTGAGCACATCGAAGTATAAAGATGAGATATTGCAGTATAGTAATAGTCACCACAAAAAAAACGAAGAAGAAGACAGAACGAACGAACAAACGAAATGAATGTCCACTACTACAACAACTATTACTATACTCGTTTACTCCTTGTTCTCATAATTATCTATCGGTGAACGCACACATACATAGAACAGCAGTGCAGATTTCTCTTTCTCATCAAATGGATTTTTTTTCTCGTTCTTCTGATTTACATTCGATAGATCGAAAAAAAAAGAAAGTAACATTCTCTTTTCGTGCTCGTCATTTTCGTTTGTTGTCTATTCATAAGATAGCAGAAAAAGAAACGAACGATGATGCTAGCTACCGATGCTATCTCTGCTTCTTCCTTCGACAGGTAAGGTAATGCGCGACTTATTTTTCTTTTTCTTTTTTTTTCTAGAACGCAATAATAATAATAATAATAATAATAATATGCTTCTGCTAATGACGATGATAATTATAATCCGCTCTTTTTTTTTCTTGCTTTTTTTCTTCTTCTGTTTTGTTTTTTCGTTATTTATATATATGAATCAGTAAGAACAATAAATAAAACAGTAGATTGATTATGACTTGCAGAAACCTGAAGAAAGGTAAGAATTAAAATTATTCATCCGTATCCAAGTGGGATTAACCATATGAATATAAATACGATTACTGGTCTTCCGACTTTTGCTTTTTTTTTTTTGTTTTTTTTATTCTTTACATATATACATCGTTTCTATGAATCGATTGGTTATATTTTTCCTAATTGTTGATGCCATTGGTTATTATTTCATTTTTCTTTTAGAAGACAACAACATCATCGTTTTAATATATTTGATAAAAATACAAATAATACAATGGATTATTTCTTAACCAATACTGATGATATCAGGTAATGAATGTTTACTGTATTATTTGACTGGAGTTATATATTGCAGAAAAAACAAAAAAAAAAAAAACGGATATCCGAATGTTTTTTCTTTTGTTTACATTATAAAATCGACTATTTGTATTTTATATTTACAAAGATTAAAAGTCTTGGCATAATGTTAATCCACCCATCGATGAATCTTTACATTTCATTTATAATTCTTTTCGTTTTTGCACTTCTCTCTCTTTTTTTTCTTTTTGTATCTTTCTCTGTTAAATTACCGATGCGTGTCGAGCTGTATAATAATGCCTTTCGGGAGGGCATTTTTTTGTTGATATCGGTACTAGATAAAGAAGAATGTCTCTTTCTCTTTTCTCTATACCATCTTCAATCAACGAGCTAAAGTGAACGATCGTGTCTCTTTTTCTTTTACCTACTTGTCGCAGTGACGCCCCTCTAATCGCATCGTGCATATATACATATATATATATATATGTATGCATATTTAGAGAGAAAAGAACAAGAAATCTTTACGCTCTCTTCTTTAACCATAAAGTAGTGGTCAATCGATGCAATGGGAGAAAAAAGAAAAGTAAAGTCTAATGTCATGCCTGGTTGATGTCTGACCATATGAATTATCATTTGATTCAATCGACCTCTCTCTCTCTCTCTCCCTCATTCTCTTTTTCGACATGTGAATATGTCTGCTTCATTGGTGTCTATGCCGCCGTTGGGTTAATAATTGTTGATGTGAAAAGATTGAAATCATTGGTTTTAACTATTTTTATCAGATTTAAATATTTTTCTTAAAAAGAGAAAAAAAAACAGAATGAAGTTCTTTATTTTAACGTTCATCATCATAGAAATTTTCATTGGTTTTCTTTAAGTGTATGTTAAATAAACATAAAATCTTGAAAATTCAACAACACCTTTTCTTATTTTTGTTTTGTTCTCATCTTGATGATTACCTTAATAAGATAGGATATCAATAAACGATAATATATATATATATATATGTTATAGAAAAGTGCTATTAAAATGTGTGGTGTTTTTTTTGTTGTTTTTTCAATTTAATGTTTATTTCAGTGATTGTGATGCTCAATCGGACAAGTCAAATTCAAATAATAATAATGTTAGAAATCATACACAAAAATCAACACTTACAGAAAATATTGGGAGAAGTAGCAGGTAAAATTGGAATTATTCATGTTTTAATTACTTGGCGAATTTAACCTGTTTCAAATTACAACAAGGATATAAAACGAAATTGTGAATAGATCCCAAAGATAGGATTTTCAGATAACCAAAATTACTATGCTCTACAAAACGAGATGTCGCCAAATACACTATGATATTTTGTAGTTGTTGAAGGAATCTTTATAAACTTTCATTCTTGAGATAACAAAATTGTACTGTATTTTTCAACAAAAAAATTCTTAGAGATTTCCTCATCAGTCACAAAAGGTCGTATAGATCTTGATGATATTTCATTTGTAGAAAATCACTTATTCTATTGTTTGGACAAAATGATAGTCGAGAGAGCATCAACATAAACCGTGTAGAATAATTTTAATTATCACTGTGTATTATTTGCTATGTAAGCTTTGTTATTCGAGAAAATATTAATAAAATACAGCATAAATATCAATTTAATAGTTCTAATAAACGATATGATTTTATTTGATTATTTAATAATGATCAAATGTTTGATTTATTTATTATTATAGTGATATGGAAATAAGGAAATGGATTTATTACATATAATATTTTTTTTCCCTCATTCAATTACCTATGGTTATTTTCCTATGATAGGTGACTTGCATGAGTACATTAATCAAACTATAGGTATTATCATAGTATGATTTATCTTTATTATACTTATGAAATATTCTGGTTTATCTGTTTTTTTCACTAACCCAGGTCCAATAAAACGGTGTAATAAGGATGTAAAACGTTGAAAAACGACGCCGTAATCCGTCATACCAGATTACGGAAGCAAAGCCGAGGGGGGGGGACGATGGCCGTTTTCTAGCGATAAAAACGGCTCGTAAAACAGTATGACGGATTACGGCGAAATAAGGCCAAACGACCTGGGAAACTTTGAATATGAGAACGATGATGATGAGCGAGGTTTTCATATAAATGATAGATGTCGCTAATATTATATTGTAATCGTTACATTTTATTGAATTTTTTTGTAGACGTAAACAATTAGCTCCTCGTTCACGACTTGTTCGTCAATGTGATGAATGTGATTTTTCATCATCAATAATAAATGAATTTAAAACTCATATGAAATTTGAACATGGACATGATCAAGTATTTCTATGTGATATATGTCGATATTATTCATTATCACCATTAGATTATCAATTACATTTGAATTCTCATCAGTAAAATAAATTCTTTTTTTTTTTCTTCCATTATTTAATTTTATAATATATATATATATATATTTTTTTATTTCTATAGAAATAATCATTCATTATCAAAATCAAATATATCATTGCATGAACAACAAATTGAATCTGATGGTGAAATTGATGATGATGATTCAATAAATATTTTTTCCAAAGAACAACATTCAACATTATTTGAAAATGATGAACAAATTTCCGATGATGAACAAGTAAGAATATATTATTCATTCATAGTTTATTTTCTTATCACATGAAACGATTCGATAGATGAGAGAAGTTCTACAAATAATAAATCATTTTTGAGTTGAGATTATAGAGACATAAATGAGCTTTGAATACCCTTAAAAGAGTTCGTGTCCTTAACTACGGATGATACTGCATTTTTATGGTACTTTTTTTTTTACATGAATATCGTAATAACAGAAAAATTGATTTTCGAATTTTGTCTTAAAACTTTGCATTAAGAAAGATATTAACAAAATTAAATCTATTGGTTTACATGAACAATATCAAAGATTCTTTATAGAAAAGATGCACCTTCCTTACAATGAATACTTTTGAAATGTTTCAAGAGTTTCTACTATAGAGTGGTTATAGTGTACATCGAGAAGATATTATTAGGTTTTGTTAGTATAAAATTATATCGAAGATTATCTAGTTTTGTTTTGTGATACTTTCTGAAATGATGGTCGAGTTTGCTAAAATTATAATTGAATGAGAATTAATTGCAATATGATCGAAATCTATGATGAAAATACTGTTTGAATGGATTGGATTGATTGAAATATTTATAAAGAGTAGCAATCAGTAATTATTTTAGTCTATTATTGATTAATATACAAATTTTGATAATAACATTGAGAAATAAATTTATTCATTTGAACAATTTTGATTTAATTTGAAAAATTGATTAACGATGCATGAAAACAGTATGTTCATTGTATGTAAGAGCAATAGACACGAATATATTAATACTTATTAAAGAAAATAAATGTGTAGCTAGTGAAATTTTTTTTTTGTTTCTTATAGACAGCTTCTAATAAATCAAATGATTTAGTTAAAATAATAGGATAGATATTTCGTTTAAGATATGAAATTTCTACTTGTTAGAAAAGAAAAAACTTTCTTCTACAATAACTTCTTGTATTATTCTTTCTGTTTTTTTTTTCATAGTAAAAGTTATTTGTACATTTAATTGATGCACACATATGCATAAGATCAAAATTAGAACTTCTGTTTGACAACAACGAAAAGAAAAAAAAAAGACACTAAATCGGATATTAAATATCTTTCTTGACTTGATCTTATGATTGAAGTTGACACTTGTTTTACCATAATTCCACTTGAAAATTGATCTCTGTCAAGTCTATAGACATCACTTTATATATATATATATATATCATTGTTTGATCTTGATTCTATCGACTAAATTTTATGACATAATAACTAACAAGAGAATTAAATATGATAATTAACTTCAGTTTTTTTTTGTTCTGTCTGCAACTAAAAAACGAAAATTTGCATGTTAAAGTCTTTATTTTTCTTCTTTTCATTTTTGAAGTGAAAAAGAAAAACAGCAGTCAGACAGTTACTATTACAAGATATTTGCATAAAAAAAAAACTTCTTCGGAGATTAAACTATTATTCTCTATGCATATTTAAAAGTTTCATTTTTCAATCATACAGAGAATAGATGTATTTGATTAATTACTTACACATTTGAGATCATAAAACTAGATCAGATTTTATGATTGAAAGAAAAAAAAGAGAAGAGTTGATATACTTTTCTATGTCAGAACAATAATCTAAAGTGAATTTTTAATTTCTCGCACGATAGAGAAAATCATTAATGATGTGTGAAACTTTTTCATAGTTATAAAAAAAAAAAAGAAACAAAAAAAAAAAGATATTAATTCTATTTTCTTATCATTTGTCTTCTTGAATTGCAGGTGCATCTTTTTTTTCGATTAAAACAATCATCTACTAGTGATAATAAAACATACATAGATTTCTTTTCTTTTTTTCTTCTTATTATTTTAAATGTCTTCTCAAATAAATATGAGAAGTTTTGCGCTCACGCATGTAATTTTATTTTAGCATACTATACCATGATATATTTCTTCCTATTTCGTTTCATTCATATATAAAAGCCTATAACAATTAGAAAGAATTCTGTGTTTTTTTTTTGTTGTTGTTGTGCACTACTGACACTCACTCGAAAGATCATTTTTTTCGGTTATGCCTGTTATTATTGGGTAGGTACTCATAAAATAAACGAAAGAGAATACAGATGGCATTGCCTTTTCTTACTCTCTCTTTCTCTGTCTCTCTTGATTCCGATTTAATTCTTTTTTTTATTTCAACCAATCCATATTCATTTCGCTTTCTTTTTTTTATATATATATATATAGAATCCTTCAACTAGCACAAACAAGAAACTTAATCTATCCGTTACTTCATCACATTCTAATACAACACAACAAACATCATCATCTGTACCTGATCGAAAACGTCCATATAACGTATCTGTTGATCCAGCACGATATCGTCGTGTACCTGACCCAGATGATGCAACTGCTGGTAATATTAATATAAATATACAAGTGATAAGAATTCGAATTTTAACAGTGAAATAATATAGAGACTGAAATTTTTATGATCAAAATCGAAGAGTTAGAGTCCGTCGAATCTGAGTTCTACGGGCTTTAATGAGAATACATTATAGCGTTTTCTATAACTCTATAATAAGTACAATCAAATTGCAAATTCAGTTAAATTTTGAGATTTGATGTTTTTAGTGTATTTCAATTTTTGCTAAGTTTAGGCATCTTAAAACAAAAGAATATGAAAATTCTGTTGTTTTTTTTCTAGTAAAATTTGCTTGTTCATTATGTGGTAATTTATACAAATGGAGAAAAAGTTTAAATAAACATTGGAAAGAAAAACATAACGACGAAAGTCCACCACCACTTGACGCACCTGTTACTATTCGACCACCAAAATCATCATCAAATACAACAATTCAATCAAAAATATCTAATCGTACAAGTGAAATGTTACCACAAACATCTTTAAATTCGACAGCAACATTAGCACCATCACTACCATCATCATTAGTACCACCACCACCACCTCCAGCACAACATCATCCAGCATTTCCATTTAATCCATATTCATGGATTAATTTTGCTTCTCGAACTGATTTTCAACAAATCTATTCATCAACATCTATGGATCAATCATTAAATCTTCCATTAGATTTAACAATAAAATCAACAAAAAAAAATACATCATCATCATCATCACCACCATCATCATCATTATCAATATCAACTGAACAAAATCCAATAAAAAAACATCATCGTGATAGTAATAGTAGTAATGATGAACAACGTGATAGTTCAAATTATAATCAAAATGATAGTGATAATGATAATATTGATGATGATAATGATGATTGTCATTCAGAACATGCATCATCATCAAGTCCACCAAATGCATATGGACAAAAAATATTTATTTGTTCTATATGTGAACAACGTTTTCTTGCTATTGAAACAATAAATGAACATTTTTTAAAAAATCATCTTATGGAATTAGAAAATGAAATAGCTGGTAAATCACCACCACGTAATACAAATGTTGCACAACAAAATGAAGAATGGAATTTAAGTGATCCAATTAATCCATTAAAATGTATACAATGTGATTTTATTGGTCGTTGGCCAACTGAACTTCAAAAACATGCTGCATCACATTCAACATCACGACCATTTAAATGTCTTATATGTTCATTAACATATAAATGGCGTTGGGATTTAGCTAAACATTGGGATCGTGCACATGCATGTGGTGTTAAAGGTATTAGTTTAATAAATCCATATAAAAAACGTGATCGTGATCAAGCACGTTCAATGATGGAATTAACACCAACAACAAAAGCTAATGGTGATCATCATTCAACATGTTCATCAATATCATCAACATCGACAATTAAAAAAAATTCATTTAGAAATTCTGATGATGATGAACATAGTCAACATTCAATTATATCTGATAATGATGAACAACAACAACAACAACAACAACAACAACAAATAAAACGTATTAAACAAGATGATGAAAAACATTTACCATTATTACCAACATTTTTACCTCCGCCACCACCACCAATACCATCAACAACAACAACAGCAACACCAAATATGTTTTTTCCACCACCATCATTTTTTTCTCATCATCCAATGTTTTCATCATTTCTTAATCCATCACTATTACTTCAACCAAAATTTAATTATCCATCACGTTCATCACCAATATCAATGAATACAAATTTAGATTTATTTAAACAAGCATCAGCTTTTGTTCAACGTACAAAATCACCAAATTCATCAAGATCATCATCACCACGTACATCATCACCTTTACAACAACAACGAATGCATGCTGTTGCTGCTATGGTTGCAGCAGCTAATGGAAATAGTAATCATCTTCGAAATCAACAACAACAACAACAACAACAACAACAACAACAACAGCAACAACAACAACAAAGAAAATTTGAAAAAGAAGAACGAAATTTTCAATGTCGATGGTGTGATTATCGTGGTAGATGGAGAAGTGAATTAATTCAACATATGAGATGCCATCATGCTAGAGATAAACCTTATCATTGTTCAGCTTGTCCATATGCTTCAAGTTGGAAATGGGATGTTCAAGTAAGAAACAAGAAAAAGAAAATCCTCATATAGTGTTAAAGTATAGATGTTTACATCTCGTTGTAATATATGAACTACTTCCTTAATTGATCACTGAAAACCACATGTTGCTAGCTATTGTTATTGTCGCATTATTGAGCTTACTCCTATTTTTGTTTAATTATGATGTAGACATCCATTGTAGCTATAAACATAAGATTGACCTGATTAAGAGAGTTTTCACTTGATACCTTGAGCTCCTCTTACAGACAGACTAATCGTATACTATCCATGGCAATGGCGCGATTGAAGACAATACACTCCACCATTTCCTATTATAAAAAGTTTGACCATAGATTTTAAACTTATTTATATTCTAAAAATATTATGTTACCAAGCGCATACTTCTCATATGTATGATAATTTAAAGTAACATTCTTTCAGTTCATATATCCTTAGTCATTTGATTATTGAAAAACACGTCATTAACAATAATAGAAGACTAGTTGAAAAATGATTAAATTCCATTACATTTTCAATTCATAAAATAAAAATTATCTTTTAGAAACATGTTAAAAAACAACATGCTCATGATACAGCAAAAATCATTGAATTACCTGATAAATATTTATTTCAAACAACTCTTAAAGCTAAATATGAAGGAACCGATGATCGTACATTAGCACCAGCACCATTAACTGATGAAGATTATAGTTTTTTTGGTGCTGATGTACAACAAAAATTATCATCAATGAAATATACACGTGATCGTACATTAGCATGTCAACAATGTCCATTTGCTGCTAATTCAATGGCTGAATTACGACGACATTTAATTGTACATTCAGCTGAAAGTCCTTATCATTGTTTTAATTGTGATTATAAATCAAAATGGAAATGTGATGTTAAAAAACATATGCGTTTATGTAATCATCATGGACCTGTTTTAGTTGGACGTAAAGCTATGGCAAAAGTTATGGAGGTAAAAACAAAAAAAATGAAAGAGTACATCAATATAATGAAATTCTTTTCATTTTTTCTTTTTGTATTCTAGAGTCTTGGTTTAGTTATTGGTAATAATGATATAACTAAAACAATACCAACTGATAAACAAAATGTTGCTGCATTTGCAGCTGCTGCAGCTATGCAAATGTCAACATTTTTTGCTCAACAACAAAAAGAACAAAAAAAAACAAATGATATTATTGATGAAGATGAAGAAGAAATTGTTGATGAAGAAGAAGAAGATGATGATGATGATAATGATGATGATGAAAATAATAGTTTAATTATTGTTGATGAAAATCAACAACAACAACAACAACAACAACAACAGGATGATAATGATGATAAACAAAAACGTATAACAACAAATTCACGTACACAAAATAATAATCTTCGTTGTCGTCAATGTGATTATGAAGCTGAAGATTTATCAGATTTACTTGTTCATCGTAAAGGACATGCATCAATGAAATATAATTCAAATTTTGATCAAAATTTTCAACAAGATAAAATTCTATTAAATAATAATAATAATAGTGATATTGAAAATGATGATGATGAACAAGAAGAAGTAAGTTCATTTATATAGAATTTTTCGAGATATCAAAAAAAAATAATTTTTAATAGAAAATATATTTCATTTAATGAAATGCGATAAATACACACATTGATGACTTACTCAGAATTTTCTACTTTTAAGCTATCTGATAAATAAGTTAAAATATTGAAGAAATACCAAACTTCTTTTGTAAATTTCATGAGTTTTTTTTTTTTTAAATCAAGATTAATTCATAAATTTTGTTCTCTCTCTTTTCTAATATGAAAAGCTCGATAATGTGCAATTTCTGTTAATGATGTTTCAATTTCGAAACGAATGATTTAGTCTTTATATGTAGTTTCCTTGTAATTATCAGATTTTTAAGTTATGTTAAGATTAAAATCCTATGATACATTCGATATGCATAATCGAATTTGTTTCAGATATGAAGGTTTTTAAAAAATGATGCTACGTGTCTTTCATTTATTTATTAGTCATGTACGCATTTATTGACAGTTTTTCATTCTCTTTTACTTCTTTCTGTTTTAGTGAGGCATGATTGTCGAGCAAAAGGATGTTCTTTTTATCTGACTATAGGCATTACGCAGATAATTAAAAAAAACCAGAGTACCTCGCGAACCTGAAAATAACATCATTCTATGTGCGATGATCGAAAATCTTGATAATTATCAAAATTTTATTTTATGTTGTCTTTTTGTTTCTTAAAACATATTGTTTCATTATCTAACTGAATATTTTTGGAGAAAAAATTGTTCTTTTTTTTGAGACTTTTGTCCCAAGAACAAGAACAGGGGTGTGTATGTGGGTGTGTCTCATATTCTGATTAGAAAACCACCCACACCCATGACAACATTTGCTCAATTCATCAAAATTTATTTATTTAAATGAGTCATTTTTTTAAACAAAAACCATGAAAAGCAAAGTACTTGTCAGTTAATAATGCTAATCATAGAATTTCATATGTGAAACTATTTTATTAATTTCATCTGAATTTACACATATCGAATTATGTTAATTTTTATTTTTATTTTTGTGTGTAGGAAGAAAAAACACGCGACATTCAATTAGATGAAAAAATGTTTGACTATGGTATGTTGAAAATATAAAATATTATTTTTTTTTTCAACATATGAAAATTTATTAATAATTCTCTATTTTAGAATTACATTGGTTAGAAAATAATCCATTAATTAAACAATTAACAACAAGTAAAAGAAAAAAAAATATTTTTTTTTACAATTATTTTAATTTTTATAGTACAACAAAAAAATCGAATAATTAATTATCAATGTTCAAAATGTAATTATACAATTAATAATAATCGTCAATATTTTCTTAATCATCTTGATCATCAACATCCAGAAATTATACAAGTAAAATTTTTTTATATAAAAATTTTTTTAAATAATCTGTTTTTTTTTGTTTAGAATTATACATAATCATTTTTGTAATTCAATAGTCAGATATATGCATTTGTTGTCATGGTCTTTCTCCTGTTTCTTTTCTTTTTTTTTTGTTCAACGAACTGCATTACATATATATATGTATGTGTGTGTGTGTGTGACTTCAGATAAAATTCTGCTTGTACATTGTCTGTTTGTTATTTGCACTATTTATTCCCTAATTTCATTTTGTTTTTTCTTCTTTTGTGTCTAGCCATTCCAATTTGTTTATTTGCTTTGCTTTATTCTATATTCTTTATTATTATACTTGTATCGTTATTGTTCATTTGATATGTTCTGTTCTTTTGTGTAATTTCTGTTTTTTTTTTTCTTTTGTTTGTTTTTTTTATTCAAGACTAAGCAGAATAAGATCGTAAAAAAGAAAACAAATAATTGATTTTTTATGAATTGTATAACATTGAATGAAAACTTCTATATGAAAGTTGAAAAGAAGGATCTTATACCGTACATTCATATTGCTTGAAATTTTTTAGGATATGTTGAAGCTGTAGTCAAAAATGTTGTGCTAAAAATTTCAGCTTATACCATGACGATTTGCGAGGAATATTCATCATATAAAAGTCAAAAATAATATCATTTGACAACTTAAGTTTTTTTGTTGATTCTCGTTCTCATGAAGAAGTCAAATGATATAAAAGATATTATTATATTCGGAAAAATTGTTCCCTGATCTTGCTTGTAAAGAACAAACTGCACTCATATTTGACCTTCATTATTCTATCGTAAATAAATTACGTTATAATAGCACATGACTAAACATGGTCTTGTTCTTTTGTCTTTGAAAACGAAACTAGGTGACGTAGGAACTAAAAGGAGAATTACATTCAAATCCAAAGAAGAAATAATCACTTCTCGCTTTTTTTCCTAAAAAAAAAACGTGCAAATCATGTCTTATGTCTTTCTATAGAGTTTTTATAGATACTTAGAGCATACCATAACTAGTGACGAAAGTGTTTTAATTCCTAATAAAAAGTTTGAAGAAATTTTCTTTCTATATGAATTGATAGTAAAAACCACACTTTATTGATTCTATCGCATTACATAATTCTTCGATTAATATCATGACGATAAAATCTTTTTGACTATGATGCATGACGGTTATATTTGTTCATTTTGCCTGCGATATGTATTCTCTCTTGGTGATTTTCTCTTTGTTCTTCTTCTCTCTTCTCTTTTTTTCTCGTCTTCTCTAATGTGTAGCTGTCTCTTTCTCTCTCTCTCTCTCTCTCTACATATATATTAGAGCATACACAATGTAGTGCAATGAAACAAAAACGAAATACAGAAACAAGTAGGTCATGTTTCATCTTCAACCTCTTATTGACCTTTGACAAAATGATTTAAGTCATCTTTTCAACTATCCTAAGAGAAAGAGTTCATTATGCATAAGTCTTATTGAAATATTAATTGCAGTGCATATTTTATTGCACCAACGAAAATTTTCCTTATTCATCTAAAACATAGATAAATAGTGTTAAGGTTTAACCTAACTTTATTTCTTTCACTTTCTTTAGAGCATGTTGATAAACTACAGATGTAAACAATCAACAAGACATGCATCTTTATATGTATATATATATATATGTGTGTGTGTAAACGGTTAGGCATTAAAAGAGACGAAAAAAAAAGAGAAAATCAAGAAGAAAGAATACATATCGTAGATCATATAAACTGATTGAACCATCGCACATCATAACCAAATAGGTCTTATTGTAATTTTATTTTTATAATATCAACTGAAGTATATAGAAAAAAGAGAAGGTGATTTTTTAATATCAGTTCATCTAGAGAGAAAGTTTCTTTATAAAATATATCCGTCGCAACTTTTTAGTATTTCCTAAATATATCAATAGATTTCTACTGATATCTATCTGCTAAATACAAAATTAAATTGAGACAAGAGAGCATTTATTTGATAAATAAGAAAAAGTACTGTATTTGATCATAAGTACGAATATAATGAGCAGACATATTTTTAAAGTTGTTTTTTTTTATACGCCCAACATTTTCAGTAGAAACAATGTTTATTGCAATCATTATGCCCACAAGTTCACACTATTCTATGTATTTTTACTTTCATTTTTAAACATGTTCTCACGTATATAATCTTATAAGTTATTTTTAAAAAGCAGCTGAAAATAATTTTTCTTTTTCTTATCGATATCTTACGTGCTTTTCATTGCTTATTTAAATAACAGCTGAAGACCGTCGATACATTTCATTTTATTAAATACATATATACATGAAAGTAATTGTCTGTTTTTTTTTCTCTTTTAGGACAAGAACATCTCCATTATTGTCAACATTAATATATTGATAAACGAACAACATAACAATGATTCGTGGAAAGATTTTTATATATGTCCTACTTGTTACATTTGTAATTCAAGCTCAAATTTCCGTTGGTAAGATTTTTTTTTGTCTAATAGATTTTCTAATTTCTATTCACATATATATATATTTAATTATTAAAAGGATATCCAACAAATCCTGATAATCTACAAGAATTATTAAAACAAGCATTGGAAGTTAATTATTGTGCACGTATGGTACCAGTTATGAAACCAATTCCAATACGTTTTCGTCGTTCGACAAATAAAAATCAATTTCAATGCATTATCACATTGGATTGAACAACATTTTTTTTTTTGCTCTTTTTTTATCATAAATAGTTCAACACTTCCTAAATTATATGATTTATTTCTATTTTCGGCTTTTTTACATGTATATGTACAAGACGAAAATAATAATGAATAAAAACTTTACTATTTACATGATTTTCGAAAAATATAAATATTTTTGAAAATGAAAATAGAAATTTCTTTCATGTTCTACTGAAACCTTAAAAGTCTGATGTTTGTCCTAGAGGACATTATGATGTTTGGTTTTGATAATGTGACTAAATCTTACCTTCAAATATGAATAGAAATAGTCTAATGAACTATTGGCTGAAAAAAGAAATGCAATTAAACTGATTTCTAAACGAGATAAATTGTTAGATTAACTATCATAATGTCTCTTAAGAGAGACATCTGGCTTTTAGGGGGTGAAACTTTGTACTTTCAATGAAAGTTGGACATTCTTGCTTAAGTACATAGACTGATAAAAGTCAAAATGGGCTTAGAACAAAACAAGAATGTTGTTTAAATATTAAACATTTATATCAAACATTTTCTTATGAATTATTATGTTTATCTATGATGAAAAGGTATGCGTATAGAGAACGAATAAATAGATGCATAAAAAAATGTTGGATATGATACATAAAAGATAAACATAAGAACCTAATTTTTTTTGCATTCTAAGGTTTCGTCAATTCAGTATTTGAGCAAAATTGTTTTTAATATAGTTGAATTGAACTTGTTAAGTTACCTAGAAAAGTATTTTTTTTCGAAATATTAAGGAGAAATGTTCCTAGTAAAATCTAACTTATTGAAATGAGCCAAAAGCATCAAATCTGAATTATACTCAAAAATAATTTTTGTTAAAATTCGATCTTGGAGAAAGCAAAGGTTAGAATATTCGAAAATAACAGTGAGGAAGTGTAAGGATCAAAGTATAAAAAAGTGATGAAATTCTTATGATCAAAACCTTAGAATACATGATGATATTTTCATATGTTTTATTACAGAAAATGTCGTCTAATTATTTCAACAACAACATTCTTATGAGTAAATCGACAAGCTCTATTGAACAATGCGTAACACAGTTTTCTTCAAATTTTGAATTGTCAGAACCCTACAAAAATGTATACGATATTAGACGAAATTTTTTAAGCTATCATTTAAATTGAGTTACGTCTGCCACTGCAAATCTTTCAGACAATGACTTCTTAAAACGTCAAACACTTTTTCGAATATGATATTCGGAAAGAAAAATTATTCTTTATATAAAGATGATAAAGAATTCACATGAAGTCTCTCATAAAACAAGAATTTCATTTCATATCATACTTGCTTATATTTAAGACACTTATTATGTAATATTGATATTTCGAAATCTTGAAAACTAGATTTGTTTAATAAAGAATACATTTATTTACACTATATTCTTAGAATAACAATCAAAAAAAAATCTTTTTATGGTTCATATAGAAAGCTCTTTTACAATTTATGTGAATCTTTATATGCACTAGAAACAGAACATCCGTCTTTCATTATCAATTGAAAAAATGTGATTGCTTGTTATTTGTCGTATAAACTTAATGTATTGATGGTCTTTCACAAATTCCAAACCGGATTGAACTTATAATTGTTATGATTTTTACATGTCTTCTATTTCGTAGCAAAAATTCTATCACGATATTCTTTCATGTCCGCGAACTATTCAGAAATGTCAAACAAAAATGTCCTCTATTCAAGGCACATGTACTTGAAGAGTTAAACAAAACATTTGGTCTATAATTCTATTATTCATGGGAATAGACTGGAATGTGGGTGTAAGTGAAGATAAGATCAACATCCACTTCCCACACTCAACCGTAGACAGACTGTTCTTTCTAATTGGCTGTGTTTTAAGTTTTTTCTAAATCGGCACTGCCATGTTGATATAATGATTGAAACAGAAAATTGTTCATACTGAGCTTAGATGTTATTATGAGTATCAATACCAGAACAAAATTAGTAAGTTGCAGGAATTATTTTCAAAAAATTGATTTTCAGAGGGGATCTTCTAATGTGTCGATAAGTTTGTCACGTTTTGAAGTCCTTGAATTTTGTGATGATTCAATTGATTTTAATTAATTTCTTCATAATATTCATCAACAAATTATATTTGAAGTTTGAAATTATTTTGCAATGCTTTCAAATGTTTTTCGATCAACTTGCTTTTAAATCAAAACCATTTGAGCAAAAAAAAATTTGACAAATTGGTTTATTTTTTTAATACAATCAGCATACTTAGATCATACCAAAAGTAGTTACGAAGCGATATCAATTGCTTATAGAATGCTTGAAGAAATCTTCTTGTTATATAGACTAATAGTAAAAACAATGCTCTACATTTCTAAACCATTTGATCATTGTTCATCTAATATAATAATAATACAATTTTCATTAGACTTTCTTAGCTATGATATGTAACAATGACATTAGTCCATATTGGGGTGTGGGTGTGGATTTCGGTATTGTTGAAATCAATATCCACACCCACACCCTATATGACGTTGAACTTTGATACTTTCCAGGTAGTTATTGTTCGAATAAGGAAAAGATGAAAACGTCTAAAATATTCATCAGTAGTCCAAGAAGTCATCGAACACTTAAGTTTACCTTTTACATCTGTAGTTTCTTTAATTAAGATGAAAGTATTCTATTAAATATGGAAAATATATTTAATGATATGAATTTATCTTATAGAAATGTATATCATTCTTATTAATCAAGAACTTCGTTTTTTACTGTTCATCATCATAGATGTTTAGTTTACAACTGATAGAAAATCTAAGCAAGAAAAAGAAGCATCATCAGGAGAGAATCTTCTCGATAGCACATTGAACTGTTTGGCAGATGTATCCAATCACGAATTGGATTCCTCATCTCACTTCAGCACTGTGCCAATAAACAAAGGGAAATGATCATTAGGAAGAGGCA